AAGTTCTGAAAGCAACCATTCTGTCAAAATTGAATTATACTCCGAAGCAGTTTTCAGGTCTTATAATTTTTTAAGTTATATACAGGGTGTTTGGTGAGGATTTACCGCCACTTACCGAGCTTATTTCAGAAGACATTTCAAGCAAAAAATGTCATATAAACATGGGTCCTATTCTATATTTAATAATAATAATGTAATTAATGTAATTATTATTAATTAGATAATGTAATTAATCGTTCTAAGAAGTGAGTAAGAATAATGTAATTTTGTAGTTCAGATTACTAGCCAGTTAAAAAAAAGACTGCTATTTCTGAAAAATTTATCCTTTATTTTTAATAATTTTCTTGTACTCCTCAAACTAAAAAAAAAGGTCTTTTACAAACAACCTTCAAATTAGTGTAACTCTGTAAATATTCAGAATAGGACCCATATTTATATGACATTTTTTGTTCAAAATGTTTTCAGAAATGAGCTCCGTAAGTGGCGGTAAATCCTCAACAAACACAGGACTTTTCAAGTCGCTCAGTTTATGAAAAGGGGAGAACCAAAATATTTATTTTATTTAAATGACCACAAATAGAGAGTTACCCATTGTAGTAAAAAACAATTTCTGTAAATTTCTAAAATAAGATTCAGTTCTTCTGATATCTTTCTGTGTAATCAGACAAACTTTGTTCCCAAAATCGTCGGAAGCTGTTTATATTTATATTTATAAAGTTGCGAGTCGTTAATATTGAAACGTGACACGATGAAAATTAAACATAGAGCAGAATTTGTTAGTAAATCTATATTTAGGTCGGAGCACACATGTTCAAAGCCGAAATATTAAAGTCCTTGTTTAAGTGATAATTTTCAGGTCTCTAAAGAGCAGGGAAATGGCAGTTTTCAGGTCGATTAGCTTTATACAAAAATCCGATGTTATTTTTTTAAAGTTTACTTTCATTCCAGTAATCGCATTGATAGAGATTTATTCATAAAAAAAATGATTTCCGTAATTCTTCAAAACAAGATCCAGTACATAACATAGTATATATACGGAAGGAAAAAATCATGGAAACTGGATTTTGTTTTAAAGATTTACGGAAATCTCTTTTTTATGGTGGATAAAATCTCTATCAATGCGATTATTGGAATAAAAGTAATCGTTAAAAAAATGACACCAAATTTTTGTATAAAGTTAATCGACCTGAAAACTGCCATTCCGCTGCTATTTAGAGATCTGAAAACTGCCATTCCGCTGCTATTTAGAGACTTGAAAACATACCACTTGAACAAGGAATTTAATATTTCGGTTTTGAACATGTCCGCTGAGACCCAAATATAGACTTATTAACAAAGCTCTATGTTTGAGTTTCATTGTGCCTCGTTTCAATATTAACGTCACCTACGGCTTTAAGTTTGAATGCTTATTTCCGTCGATCTTTGGAACAAAATCGATTAACAGAGAAGAAAAAATTCACGGAAAATGAATCTCGTTTTAAAGAATTACGGTAATCACTTTTTTTATGATTGATAAATCTCTATCAATGCGATTATTGAAATGAAAATAATCATTAATAGGAAATAAAATCGGATTTTTGTATAAAGCTAATTGACCTGAAAACTGTCATTTTGTTGTTATATACTGAAAACTACCATTCTGCTGCTATTTATAGACCTGAAAACTACCACTTGAACTTTAATACTTCGGCCTTGTGTGCCTATCTGTTTCAATTTAAATATAGATTTAATAACATGTTTTGCTCTACGTTTGTTTTTCATGCCACGTTTCAATATTAACGTTACCTACGACCCTAAGTTTGAATACCATCAGTTTTCGTCCATTTTTGAGACAAAATCGGTTAACAGAGTAGGAAAAATTCATGAAAATTGAATCTTGTTTTAAGATATTCCGGAAAGGACCATTTTTATGATGGATAAGTCTCTATCAATGCGATTGCTATGGAATAAAAGTAATTATTTAAAAAATGACATCAGGTTTTTGTATAAAGCTAATTGACCTGAAAACTGCCCTTTCGATGCTATTTAGAGACCTGAAAACTACCACTTGAACAAAGACTTTAATATTTTGGCTTTGAACATGTTTGCTGCGACCTAAATGTAGATTTAAGAATGTTCGGGTATTACGACTAAAATAATGAAAACTTTTTAAATTTAAATAAATCCTGTAAATTTTATCATAAAAAAATTCTGTCCAAAGAGGCTGTTTAGGAAGCTTGTTGTTGAGAAACTAAATAATAAAATTACACGTAGTTTTATAGAAAATAGAGAAAAATTATCTCAGTGAAAAATAATGAAAAAAATATGAAATTTTGCAAGCAGAACGAGTAAGACTACATAATTATCTATACCAATTTTTAGCTTTATTAGGAGATTTTTTTTAATTTAATAATGTTTTCGAAAAATTTCTCGGTTAGGTGAAGTTAGCCGAAAAGTACGCTTAATACGTACTCAATTTCATCGTGCCACGTTTCAATATTAACATCACCTATTGGCTTTAAGGACGTTCACCTGTTATAATCGTAGCCAAAATTTTATATTCTAAATTGTCGTGAAAACATCCGAATATGAATATATACGGTCACAGGTTGAAAACTTTTAAACAGTTCTGTCTCTCACACACAGAACAAAAGACTACTGTCATTTTTCTCCTGCAGTCGCTTCTTTACGTCGAATAATCGTGAAAATCGAGGTCTATTTATTATGTATTTCTAAATCTAAACGGTCAATAATTTCGGGTTTCTTTACTAGCATTCCTAAAGTGCCCTTCTACTATATATCTGTTTTTCATCACTTTCTATAGATTTGTTCTAACAATTAAAATTCAAAATACGAGATTTTCGTCTGCTTTGTGTATTTAATACATGTAAAAAATACAATTTTTGATAGCGAGTATCTCGACTTTGGTACGGGCACGGTTCTTACAATTGAGGAGGTGTATAGCTAACACCATTAATAGCATATGGTTCAAATTTTAAGCAAATACATAGAAAATTAATTTACTGGTAAACGTCTTTAAGTTTGAATGCTTGTTTCCGTTGATCTTTGAAACAAAATTGATTAACAGAGTAGGAAAAATTCGTGGAAAATAAATCTCGGTTTAAAGAATTACGGTAATCACTTTTTTATTATGAATAACTCTCCATCAATGCGATTATTGGAATGAAAGTAATCAGTAAAAGAAAATAACCGGATTTTTGTATAAAGCTAATTGACCTAAAAACTGTCATTTTGTTGCTATATATAGACCTGAAAACTGCCATTCTGCTGCTATTTATATACCTGAAAACTACCACTTGAACACAAACTAATACTTCGGCCTTTCACACATATATCTACTGCAACCTAAATAAAGATTTAATAACACGTTTTTCTCTATATTTGATTTTTATCGTGCCACGTTTTAATATTATCACTCGTATTATTGTCACTTACGACGTTAAGGTAGTAGTCTTGTAAATCGCAATTCTTAAGAAAAATTTGAAAATTTTACTATATGTTAATAAATGTGGTATCTACACGTCTACACAAAAGTAATTGACCATCCCGAACGCAAGATAATCGTTATCAAAAATTGAATTTTTTCATGTATCGCACACATGAAATATACGGGAATCTCGTATTTTGAATTTTAATAATTAGAACGAATCTTAAGAAAGTGATGAAGAACGGATACATAGTAGAAGGACACTTTAGGAATACTAGTAAAAAAAACCAAAATTGACCATTCAGATTTAAAAATACAATAACAAATAGACCTCGAATTTCACGATTATTCGACTAAAAAAAGCGGCTGAAAAAGAAAAATGACAGAATATAGTCTTTTGTCCTGTGTGTGAGAGACAGAACTATTCAAAAGTTTTCAGCTTGTAACCGTAAATAGTTGAATGTTTTTATGTCGATTTAGAGTATAAAATTTTGGTTGGTATTGTCGCGATACTATTACATAAGTTTGAATGCTAGTTTACCGTCGATCTTTGAAACAAAATAATTATTATAAAAATGTGTTTATTTTTTAATAGTGTATTTAATGTAAATATTGCTTTAAAATTTTTAAAATTATGATAAAGCTAAGTTTTAAGAATACTTTTAAGTTCATATCGAAAAGATACTTATAGAATGCATTTGTGAGATAAAGGAATTTGAAGATAGAATATACAATGGCAATAAATATTCCGGTAGAAATGCTATTTACTTTTATTTCAATATATGTAAGAACTATAAGCAATAAACATTGTATGAGAAAATATTCTAATTGAAAGAAATGATTCTATATTTAACTCGCAAATAACTTATATAGTATACCACAAACATTTCGAAAATGAATTGGTGTCAATATTTTTTTGTATTACATCAAATACATTTATTACATACATATACATTGTACTTACAAATATCACAAAAATGTTTTTTTTTTTACTTATACTGTACGTATTATTGCTTACGTTCATCAGAAGTAGTAGAATATTTTTCTAAGAGTGGTTTGTAAAATAAAAAGTTAGATTTTTGTCAGAGAGGAATTTTCAACAGCGTGCCTAAATTCTATTACCATTTTCAACTCATAAATCTACCTTATTGTTAGTTTAAAATAATTAGACTTAATGCAAAAAGAACTTTTGCATTAAATGCATTAATCATAAAAATAAAAATTAAAAAAAGATTTTGCTTACATATTTTTGGATTAAGTATAATTTTATACTTTTAATTATTAATAATTTCTTACAAATAATATTGCGGTGTAATATATTATGAGAAGCCGGGCTTTGAACGAGCGACGTGCTCCCGCCCTTCTAGAGGGCAGCTCCCGAGTGGCGCGAGCCTCGGGGCGCCACGCTTTCGTGCGGTCGTTGTGGGAGCTCACAAGAGCTCATGGTGTTATAGCGTACAGACGTGTTTAAGTGTACAGAGAACAAATATATAGAGTATTCGAGAAATCCCTGTGTTTTTCCTGTCCACCTCGCCACGCATACAGTTGCCGTTGTCGAATAGCCTACATATATTAATGAAATTAATTAAATCTTTGGTATTTTTGTTGTACCACACAATGTTGTAAAGCCAAGTCTTTATCTAAGGTACTTTACGGTTGTGTAGACATGGATGTTTTGTCTTAAAATCTCAATATCTCTTGCAGAAGGTAGACGTGATTTTTCTATTCCTGACGAAAACTTGTTAATATTAATTGCGCTTCCTTTGGAATCTATTGCTTTCTTTTTGTTGATCCAAATAAAGAATGCTGAAAGAGATCATATAATTTATTGAAAAAATTTGTGCTAATTTATTTACACATGAATACATGTGTGGGTAACTCATAATTTAAGTATTAGTAATATGTATAAGTATAACTTTTCTTTAACACATATTTTAAACAATAGAAATAATATTAGAATTAATGCAGTTATTAGTTAAAATAAATATAAGAGAAAATATCATTATTTTAATTAGTAATAATGACTAATTTTTTATAAATATTACAAATATATTATAAAAATATATAAAGTATATAAAAAGAAACTAAAAATATTATAATAAATGAAGACCGCTAAAAATAAATCAAATAATAGACAAATAACCATTTTCGGTATCTAACAATAAGCTGGATATCTTGGTAGCCTAATAATATTTAATTAGGCGCGAAATTCACGAAGTTGAAAAATAGTATATAATGTTCACTTGAAAATATTATTAGGCTACCAAGATCCAACTTATTGTTAGACCGAAGATGGCTATTTCTCTAGTTATTTTAAAATATCGTATAATAGAAAAAATTATTTAATATAAAATGCATGCCTACTACTTTGGCGTTTTTTTTTTAATGTTTCTGATGATGGTATATTTTTATTAGTTTTAAAGTCATTGGAATAGAAGGATTCGGAAGAGCCAATTAAATTCACAAAAATGAGATTTTACTCAACTTCTTCGTTATCATTGTCATTCTCCTCATTATTAAAAATAGCTAGAAATCGAGAGAATTTTGGAATGTCTGATTCAGAAATTGACTGTCAATAATGTGATTTATGTATACTCTTATTATGGTCCATAAAGTTTTCCAACTCTGTGGCTTCTGACTCTAAAAGTGAAAGGTGATGCACCTTATGGCAATAAACTTTCGTAATTTTTTATTAACTTAAATTATAAGAGAAACTTAATTTTATTGTTTTTATTGTGTAAAATTTGTGCGAAAAGAAATCTTGCATTAAACGCGTTAATATTTTATTTCGGAATTTGGTACCTCGCAAGAGGTTTTGCTGCTTGACATTTTGAAGAACAGCCCTGCATAAGTTGACACGTTTTCATTGAATGTTTATATCGATGTTTGCCGTATCCAGGAATGCCAAAAAGAAGGGTTTCGTGATTCTATTTACGCATTTGATTATAACAATTGCTTTATAACTTTGTGACATTGCAGTTGTAATAACAATTCAACGTAGTGTTGTAATTACGAATGCAATAATACAGACAAAGTACATAGTTCTTTAATGTCAAATGTGACCAATTTTTTAATAACCTAATGCAGAAAAGAAAAAAATTAAATAGAAAATTAATTACTGAAGAATACATTTGACAAAAATATTTTTATTTTTGCATTTAAATTAATCAAATGTAAAATAATTTAAAGAAAAAAAAAACATAAATTATTAGGTGTAAAATATGCTTAAATACAAAATAGGTTAATGAACAATTGTTAAGAATAACAATAATATTACCTCTTTTTCAGTTTCTGATAATGAATTATACACTTCTGGGTTTGTATACTCTCCAACACTGTCATAACATTTGGAATCTTCTATTAGAACTTTTACTATATCACCTGCTCTTTGTCTGTTATAAATTTGCTTAGAAATAAACGTTACTCCTAATGATTTTAACCATGTACTGTAATCATAAAATTTAATAAGATCATTATACAATATATTTCTTGTGTCTGTCAAATAGTAATATAATTTATGTGTTCTTTATACCTGGTAATTTATCTTTATTATACCATTTAATTTGTGCTACAGTTTCCTCTGCTGTTTTATTTATTATTGTATAATCTTTTTCCAAAAGTTTCAAAAAACTTTTTACATTTTTTATAAACCCTTATTACCTCTTTTGATATATTCAGTAGCTAATAAAATTGCTAATTTTTTTAAAAGAGTACCAAGTATAGCGACAGACGGTGTTTTAATCGTATTACTGGCTTTACTGTGTATCCGCGCGTGTTCTTTTCTACCAAGCATTAGAACCTTCTGCCAATACTTCTTTTGTTACAATTTTGAAAGTGATGCCTTACATTATTATTTTTAAAATAACCCTTATACTTTGGACCACGGGTAAAATCTGGCTCAGGTTTGTTAGCTTTTGAAAGTCTACGAGATACTATTAAATCTTTTTTATTAAACTAAGAGCTGGTATTATAGATAAAATTACTTTCTTTCCTAATAATATCTAGAATAACCTTTCTTTTTAAATTACCTAAAAAATTAAAATCAAAATTTTTGTAATAAAGGTATATGTAACATTTTATTTAAAATAGTATGTATATTGATTATTATATTTACCCTTAGGAAGTAAAACAAACATTTTTACATCTCTTATTTTTATAAATAGTTTC